ACCGAACAAGGTATATTTTGTGAAGAGTGCAGTGCAAATTCTGTTACTTCTAGATTCGATTTCCACCCGAGAAGCTGTCTGTGTGTGTTAATGGCACGCTTGGAGTTTCGGGTTAAATGGTGAAATAAGGCATGCATCCGTGTTTCTGGGTTTGGATTATTGCGGAAAGGGGGCCTGTGCACACGCAAATTTCTAGATTTGATATCGTCTTTCCTGGAGCGTGGTGACAGATTTGGAATCAAAAGGCCATTTTAAAGCATTCTGTCTTGTGACACGGGTTGATTTGTGGTTGAGAGGAAAAGGCACCTTAGGTCCCCAGGTGATAGTAAGAGACTCCCTGGGAAACTAAGCAACATTTCAAAAGTTTTTTTTGTTCCAAATCCTGACACCAGGGTCCAGCTTGTGAAATGCTAACCTGGCAGCTGGTGACTGTGCCTCTCTCTGTCCGGTGGGTTTTTTTAGACCAGGAAATGGAAAGCATGTGATATTTTAAAAAAGCAAAAGCAGCCAATGTGCTCTGTAAGCAAAGAGATGTGTTTATTTTTCCTTTGACTCCAGGCAGCCTGGCCGCTTCTCAGCTCTGGTTACACTATTTCTGCCTGGCAGCTTCAGGCCTTGGACACCATCGAGGCCTGCTGAAACCAGAGAAAAATCAGAGAGCCTCCCCTTCCCGAGTTGTACAAACATCTCTGGGCTGGTCCCTGGTGCGGGAACTGGCTTAACCAGATTCAGTGACACCTAGGCCTGACCTCCTGCCGAGGTGAATAAAACTGCCTTTTATCTCAGTGTGACTTTGGGAACAATCCAGAAAGCTATCCTACCCTTCAAGTGTTTGTCGTAAATTGCAGTACATACTTGAAGGTAATCGGGAACTACATTTAAACCAAGTGTGTACTGGTTTAAACCAAGGTCGCCGCTGCCCTGGAAGTTTCTAAGCAATGTGACTTCTAGCTCCACTTGCTATCAGTACTATCAGTGAGGCGTTGGAAAGGCAGAGTCCTCTGAATCCAGCTAAAATGCTGCTCATCTACTGGACAGCATCCACCGTAATATTTTTTGAGGGGAATTATTACCTTTACGTTTTGAAAGAGTGTGGCTCAGAGAGGTCAAGTTGTCCCTGACGCGGAACTTGGCGTATATGGAATGCAGTAGAAAAGCTTTTGACTCTGAATGAAGAGATGGAGGAGGGGTAACGGAATAAGCCACTCTCAAACAGCCACTTTGGCATAAGGATTATTTCAAGTTGAAGGCAATTAAAAAGAAGCACATACGAGAAAAGCTCTCTGCCTTCTCCTGTTTGCCTAAAAGCAGGACATGATTTGTAAAGATGCCTGCCCCCTCCCCTCTCTACCTGTAATGAGAGAAGTTAATCAGTGATCATTCTAGACCCTCAACCATCCAGAGAGAGCACCAGAGGCATCTACCCAACAACGTTTGCTACCACTAACCTTTATCTACCATTAGTTTCCCCATGTATTTGCCTTGCCACAATTTGCCAGGCCTAGACGCTCAAAGTCCTCCTCTTTGTCGTATCATGTCTCTAAAATTTTATTTATTTTTGTTAAGATGCTATATAAGCCCAAGTTCTAATCACCCTTTGGGTTACTCACCTCTAAGTGCTCCATATGTGTGCTTGATGGGCAGTTAATTAACTTCCGTTTTTCTCTGTTAATCTGTCTTTTGTTAGTGTAATTTAAATGGCCTCAGCAGGAAAGCCCGAGATGGCTTCGTGGGGAAAACGATGGAGGGAAGGGTAGCAGGATGATTGACAGGCATTGTGGCAGGGAGAGTGAAGAGAAGGGTTAGCTGGTCTTGCTGGGAAAGAGCTTTGTGACATATTAATAGACATTCATGCATCTAATATTGTGGCTGCAGCCGTAGAACGTTAGTTGCCATTCTTGGTTGTGACTGATAGTGATACTGTTGTAATTAGCTAGTTATTAATAACAGGGAAGGAAGAAAAGGAAGGCCGGACATTATATGTATGGTAATTTGGGCAGCTTCACCAGGAAATTGCAACTTTGCACTCCCTGGAGAACCACCAGTCCATTCCCTGAAAAACACTGGGGGAAAGGATTGGACAAAGGGGGAGATGGGCAATAAAGTTGGGGTGATGTAGGGAAGGTACTTGCCTCTCAATCTAGCCTGGGGAACCATGAACTGGCTAGAGGGGACAGGGCCAATGCAAGCCCACAGAAATTTGGGAATAGGTAATCCCATAGAGAAGGAAGCTCACTCTCTTGGCGCTCTTGGCTCTGAGCTTTTGTGGCTCTTTTGCATTCACCCACGTTTCCTCCATAGTTATGTGGTCCCATGGACCCCTCACACAATGGACTGATGGACTGCATCAGGAAACACAAGCTAGCCTGATGCTGGATTAGACTGCGCAGACACGGAAAGGAAACTCAGGGCAATGTCTTTAATCCTAGCTCTGCTGAAGCCCCAGCTACACTTCTGTGACGGGACAAAGGAAAAGTGGACCTTGGAAACTCAGGGATTTAATTCTACTTAAATAAAAATCACTTATTCTTCCAAGGGAGTCTCAGAAAATTCTTTTTCTCATGCTGTTGTAAGAAGCCCACTCCCACCAGCAGCTGGTGAGGATGAGGAGAGCTCCCCACCAATAACAATAGAACTAACCCCATCTCAAACTGGCTTAAGGAGATAAAGGAATTCATGACTCATAACTGAAAACAGAAGGCATGGCTGGATCTAGGTGTTCACATGGTATCACACATTCCTGTCTCCTAGTTCTGTTTCCTTCTTAGTGACTTCTTGCTAAGGCAGGGGCTTCTGAAGTTTTTGGAAACACTGCCACCAGCCACTTGGTCATCCCAGGGAAGAATGCTTCTGTGATAGATTGTGTCATTGGTTCCAATTCTTCAGCCCTTTCTGACCCATTCCCTCTGCTATGTATCTTTGCAGTGCTTGGAAGCCAAAAGAAGGAGGTAGAAGTGATAGTGGCAGCTCCAAACTTAGGCCTCCAGAAGTTTGACTGTGTCTCCTAGCTCTCCTCTGCTTCTGCCATCTCTATGAGAAAGACATGCCCAGGCTGACCCCCAGGAGGAGTGTCTTAGTTCATTAGGGCTGCTATAACAAAACACCACAGACTGGGGAACTTAAACATCACAGAAATTTATTGCTCACAGTTCTGGAGGCTGGAAGTCCAAGATCAGAGTGCCAGCAAGATTGGGTGAGGGCTCTCTCTGGGTCATAGACTTCCTTGTACCCCCACATGGCAGAAGAGAGTAGGGAGCTTTCTGGGGACTCTTATAAGGGCACTAATCCTATTCATAAAGCCTCTACCCTCATGACCTAAGCACCTCTCAAAGGCTCTACTTACTAATACTGTCATCTTTGGGGGTTAAGGACTTCAACATGTGAATTTGAGGGGGACCCAAACATTGAGTCCATTGCAAGGAGGATGAGAGATACAAGGAGCAGAACTGAGTTATCCCAGCCAAGGTGAACCTGGACTAGCCCACCACTAGATGCACGACCTAGCCCAGAAAAGCCTGAAGAACTGAACCCCTCAGGCACATGATAAATCAGTATTATGGATGCCACTGAGATGACAAAATCTATTACAGCTGTTTTTTTCAGACATTCCAGCCTTTCCCCAAGTCATCTGCCCAAACCCAAACTAGTCCTTATGGTTCTTTGTACCTCTTAAGCTACATGGGCTAAACTTGTATCATTAAACATGGGTCCAGAATATTCCCTATTCTAAAGACAGAGACATGCCAATAACTTGTGCTGGATGACTTGAAAAGGGGAATTGTTATGCCAAAGACCAGGTGCAACAGGTGCAGGTGAAGGATTTGAGTGAAATCATTGCATAAAGCGTGCTTGGGAAAGAGCAATATTTCTGAATTGATATACCATAGTAGTAAATGTGAGTTTGAATATGTCCAAGTACTATTGATTCTTTACTTTAAGGAGATCTATTTATTTCATCTACAACCATACGTGTGTGTTTGCTGCAGCTATGTAAGTCCTGAATTTGGATAGATTGATTCCTCCCACTTTATTATTATTTTTCAAAATTGTTTTAGTCATTCTAGATCCCTTGCCTTTTCATATAAATTTCAGAATAATATGGTCTATAGCTACAAAAATCTGACTGAGATTTTGATAGAAATGGAGCTAAACCTGTATCTCCTCTAAACTTAGAACGGACATGTTTACTACATTGAGTCTTCTGATCCACAAACACAGTATGTCTTTACATTTATTTAGATCTTTGATTTTTTTCATCAACATTTTGTAGTTTTCAGCACACAGGTCCTGTGAACGTGTTTTGCCAGATGTACGTAAAACCTAAGTATTTCATTTATTTGAGTGGTGGTAAGTGGTATTCTATTTTTAATTTTTGTGTTCCCGTGATCTTTGCTAGTATATAGAAGTACAGTAGAGTTCTGTATGTTTATCTGGTATCCTGCAACCTTGCTGAACTCAGTTTAAACTAGTGTTCTCTTTGTAGATTCCTTGGGATTTTCTATGTAGACAATCACGTCAGATGCAAATAGGGACAGTTTTATTTCTTTACAGTATATAAATGTCAATGGATATGTGACTATAACATGTAACTATAAACATTGTCCAGAAGGTAGAAGATGACACTGTGCCTCCAACTTTGAAAAGAGGGTGGTTTCACCAAGCGCAGAGGCTTCAGCTATGTCTGTTGTCAACTGCTGCTGGTGGTGATGCTGCCTTTTGGACTTAAACCCAACGAAATCTTTGCTCCAAAGAGTCACCTCATCTCCTGCCTGTATTCTTATGAGATGAGAGTACTTACAGGTGCGAAGGGGGGCGGCAATAAATAGGTGAGTTCATTGCACAGGTCCAACGAGTCGTGCCCCACTGTGCCAAGGACTGCTTAGGGGCAGCCCTGGGCCGGCGGCGCCTGCGTTTCAGTGGCCGCAGCTCCTCCTAGGCGCGCGGGGGCGCTGTGAGTATCTGCGGGTGGTGGCGGCGCTCTTTCTCAGCCTCCTTATTGGTCGGACTGAGGCTGTCGGGATCGCGGCGGGAAGATGGCGACCCTGTGGGACGGGTCGGGAGCCGTGGAGGCTGAGGGGAGCCCGAGCAGCCGGGGGAGCTCGGGAGTGGAGCTGGTGCTTTCCTCCGATCCCGCCACGCCCGCCCCGCTGTGCCCTCACGGTGGGTCGTGTTTGGGCTCAGCCTGGCTGCCGGGCGCCTAGGCGCGAGGGTTAGCCTGAGTCTCCATGGGCTTTTAGTGCTCCCCGACTTTTACCAGCCTCTCTGCCCCACCTTGGGTGATACCTAGAAAACGCCCCTTCCTCGGGAAGTTGTGGTTTTCAACTTAACTAAGAAACCGTCATAAAAAGTCCCCGCTGTTGTGGTTTTGGCCCCAAGGCTGTTACATCTTTTTTTTTTCTTTTTCCTTTTTAACGAAAGAGGCAGAGGCTAGGCAAAGGGGATGCGTGTTACCGAGCAATTCCCATTGCCAAGTACTTGGAGATGTCATTGGTTGGTTTGCTGTCTTTTCAGTAAAAAAGGGTTAGTTAGGGGGAACGGCGGAAGGAATTGTGGCGGACGGGGGGTGTGTCCAGTTCCAAAGGCTCAGGTTTCGGCCGAGTGGACGGAGGCGGCGGAGCGCGCGGTTCCCAGGACCCAGGCCATTCGCCACGTAGCTGCGGCTCCGCTAACAAGAGCGCCTTATTGCTGGAGAGACCGGTTTTCAAAATTGATGTCTTAAGTAAATTACTAAAGTAGTGGATTTAATTATGATAAGTCGTGCATAAAATTAAAAAGTTTTATTTAAGGGTGGTGAAAACTGGGAACTTGATGTAGAGGACTCTTGTTTGACGTGTGTTTTTCCTGTTCTGAACCTAGGACCCACTCTTTTGTTTGTAAAGGTGAACCAAGGGAAAGAAGAAACACGGAGGTTTTATGCCTGCTCGGCCTGTAGAGATAGAAAAGATTGTAATTTTTTTCAATGGGAAAATGAAAAGGTATATTAACTTTTTGGATATATGTATCTATTTTTGATGTATGTGACATTTTGGAGAATGTATGAAATAAATCTTTTAAGAGCTGAAGATGCCATGTTTTTTTCTTAGAGATAATGGAGTTTCGTACTTACTCTGAACTTACTTTGATCATTGATGTCTTAAACTACTGTCTCAAAGACTTAGTTCCCATTAAGACCTTCTGAGGCGTTAGTACTGGGTTTGCAAGTGTAGATTTCTCCCTAATGAGTCTAGGTCATGATCATTCCAGAAAGTGTTTTAGAAAAACACTTATTTTGAACATTTGCATTGAACATCCTTTATACAGCTACTGGATGACTGATGAAGGCACTTACTGAAATAGTTCTGAGCTGAGTATCCTCTTGGGCTCAGCTCCAGTTAAAGTTTCTGAAGGTTTTAACTAGAATATTTTCAGCTTTGTTAGGTTTCTTAGAAAACAGTCTTCTGCAGACCTGTTAAGATCACCACATGTGCGTTGATCTCACTGCTTTTGGGTACTGCTTCAAACTACTCTAGAATTTTTCCAGTTTAATGTTTTATTTTTTTCCCTCCTGAAATGAATATTTGTTTACAATTTTGAGCTGCTTGAATTTCTGGCTTCTTGATGTCAGAATGTGATACCAGTTTCTCTAGCATGGTAACAAGTATACTAAGTGGATTTTGTGCTCTCAGTTGTCAGGAGCTAGACTTGCTGCCCGAGAAGCTCATAACCGAAGATGTCAGCCTCCTCTATCCAGAATGCAGTGTGTGCAAAGGTACTTATGTGGTGTCATTTTTACTTATCCTGTCTGTCTGTTTTTTGTTTTTTTTACCTGTGCCTTTAAGTTTAATTAATTAACTTATTTTTATTGTGGTAAATATATATATATAACAAAATCTGCCAATTCACTAGTATTAATTACATTCACAGTGTTGTGCAACCATCACCATTATTTCCAAAAATTTTTCATCACTCCAAACAGAAACTGACACCATTAAGCAATAACTCCCATTCCACCTCCCTCCAGTCCCTGGTAACCTCTGATCTACCATTTGTCTCCATGAATTTGACTATTGTAAGTACCTCAGATGAGTGAAATCATCAATATTTGTCCTTTTATGTCTGGCTTATTGCACCTAGCGTAGTAGTATTTTCAAGGCTTCTCCACATTGTAGCATGTGTTAGGATCTCATCCTTTTTACAGCTGCGTACTGTGCTGTCGTATGTATACGACGCTTTGTTCATTCACCTGTCAGTGGACACCTGGGTTGTTCCCACAGTTTGGCTGTTTTAATAGTGCCACAATACACATTGGTGTATAAATATCTGTTTGAGTGCCTGTTTTCAGTTCTTTTCATATATACCTAGGAGTGGAATTACTGGATCATGTGGTAATACAATTTTAGTTTTTGGAGAAACCACCAAACTGCTTTCCACAGTGGTTGCACCATTTTACATTCCCACTAGCAGTGTATGAGGGTTCCAATTTCTCCACATCCTTGTTGACACTTATTTTCTTTTTTTTTTTAATTATAGTCATCCCAGCAATTGTGAAGTGGTTTGTCATTTTGGTTTTAATTTTTTATCTCCTGATACTCATAATGTTGATCATCTTTCCATGTGTTTTTTTTTTTTTTGGCTATTTGCTTATATGCTTTGGAGAAATGTCTATTCAATTCTTCTGTCAATTTTTAATAGTTTTCTTTTTGTTGTTGAGTCACAGGAGTTCTTTATATGTTCTTTTTTTAAATATATCTTTATTGATTTCAGAGAGAGGAAAGGAGAGGGGGAGAGAGAGAGGGAAACATCAATGATGAGAGAGTCATTGATCAAGCCCACAACCCGGGCATGTGCCGTGACCGGGAATCGAACCCCGATCGCCTGGATCCTAGGTCAATGCTTAACCACTGAGCCACGCCCGGCCAGGCTCTTTATATGTTCTTTATACATTTATATGCTCATTCTTATCAGATGATTTGTGAATATTTTCTTCTATTCTTTAGATTATCTTTTCATTTTCTTGATGATGTCCTTTGATACAGAGTTTATAACTTTGATAAAGTCCAATTTATCACATTTTCCTTTTGTTGCTTGTGCTTTTGAATTCATTGCTAAATCCAAAGCCATGAAGATTTCCTGTCATGTTTCTTTTTTAAAATACTAAACAAACTAATTTTTTTAAAAAGCAATAAACACCTGTTTTTAAATATCTCCACTGCTAAAATGTTTTATTGGGTGAACTGGAATTGTGTCATAGATTTAATTCTTTAGCAAACCTGTGAAAAGAATTCATTCCTCTCCTGTGTCATAGGCCTCTGTGCTGGGAGAAGCTCCTTATGAATCCCTTGTTCTGGGTTGCTGTTGACTAATAGGTTTTCACTCTCATGGCTACTCCTTGTGGCTACCTGGGCTGCTGTGTTTTGAAGGATTCTGAGGTTTTATCCAGGTTAAGTGGAAAGGATTACTGGGATCTATTAAAAATGTCTTCCTAAGCTGCTTAGTAGATTTTAAAGTCCTTTGAAGGAAGAGGCTTTTCTTAAGATAAATGGATTCCTCTTAACCAGAGTAATTAATCAGTGATGTCTACTTAATTTGTAGGAATTCAGTCGATAACAAAAAATGTTGAAAGGGGAAGTAATATAAATTGAGCACTACTGTGAGCTAGGCACTAAACTAAATGTTTTACATGAGATATTTTTTAATCCTGCTGAGTTGGTTTACTTAGATGAGAAAATCGAGGTTTGGAGAAGTTAAGTAACTTCATCAGATTCATACTACTAGAGTGACTGTATTTTTATTTATTTTTTATTTTTATTTTTTTAAACATATCTTTATTGATTTCAGAGAGAGGAAAGGAGGGGGAGAGAGAGAGATAGAAACATCAATGATGAGTCATTGATCGGCTGCCTCCTGCACGCCCCCGACTGGGGATCGAGCCCGCAACCCAGGCATGTGCCCTGACCGGGAATCGAACCCTGATTGCCTGGATCCTAGGTCGACGCTCAGCCGATGAGCCACACCTGGCCGGGAAAGTGACTGTATTTTTAAATATAAAAGCAGATAGTAATTAATATATGATGTGTAGTGATTCAATTTAAGGAGACATCAGGAGATAAAACATGAGGAGTTATATAGAGATATATCATAACGAGATTATCACAATGAGATAGAATGAGATGTGGAAAGTAGGAAAACATCGCCCATGCTTTCTCCCTTTGCATCCCTCACCTTGGTCCATTTGTTACATTTCCTCCAGGCCTGCTGTTTTTCCTCTGCCAAGGTTTGTTTTACAAGGTTGTAGTCATAATGTGTACGTAGTTTTGTACTTTGCCTTATCACTTACTTTTGTCTGATAAGCATGTTGTTCTTGTTATTACATAAAGACATTGATGATTCAGTTAAGCTCTATAAGAAAATCTAGGTGCTCTTGTTTCCCTGCATAATCCCTGCATAATAAAACTTTAGTCTGCAGCTGAAACACTGTTCTTGTCTTGATACTGCTGGAGTACGGTTTTTTGATAATAAAGAATTTTTGAAATTTATATTTCATGCTTGTTAGAATATAAAAACACTGGCCAGAATATGAAGTATTTAAGAATTTTACAAGGTTGGTTTTCCTGCTTATAGAGGTTATTGACCTCATGGACTCGGAATTATTTAAAAGAGAAAAAGAATGTATAGGTTCAGTAAGATGATTTCATCAGTTATCTAGTGCTGATTCTTGAGAGCATGTCTTAAAATAATTTTCAACATCTTAAATCATCTGTGACCCATAACCTTGGATTTTGTTGCCCAACCCACCATCCAACCATCTATCCATTCAACCATTTGTTCATTCTTTGTTGAGGGCTGAAAAAGAGCTTAATGTGCTAGCAGTGAAGTCGAGATGTATTCAGAAATTACACGGTGTGTAGAAGAGTGCCGACGCTACTCAGAGGAAAGACTAGTGCCCTATAGTCAGAGTGCTGCAGCTTACTTGTGCCTTAGCGATCAACATAGTTGAAGGACCTGGAGTTTGAAGAGGTTTTGGAAGATGAGTAGAAGTGTAAGCTTTTTGAAATATAATGTCTTTGATTTCACTGCATCGCTTTGTAATTTGCCCTTATGATTTCTTACATGCTTTCTATCAAGTAAAAGGTTCAAAATCAGTCATTCCTCTAACAACTTAAATTTTCGCTTTTAAAATCAAAGGCTTACTAAATTATCTATTCTCTGTTATTAACTACCCATTCTGTTAGTGTGTCTTCAACTTAAGACTAGCAGTTCATTCTTTTTTTAAAAACATGTCTTTTTATGGATTTCAGAGAGAGGAAGGGAGAGGGAGAGAGAGAGAAATACCAATGATGAGAGAGTCATTGATCGGCTGCCTCCTGCACATAACCTACTGGGGATCAAGCCCGCATCCCAGGCATGTGCCCTGACTGGGAATTGAACCGTGACCTCCTGGTTCATAGGTTGACTCTCAACCACTGAGCCACGCTGGCCGGGCTAGCAGTGCATTCTTGTGTGTAAATGGACCTAAGGATGATGAGCCATTGCTTGAGATTGTAGTTGCTTTCTAATAAAACTTTATGCAAGTCATGTTATCTTATTAAATAGCTACTGTATTTGAAAGTAGTAAAGTACATTTAAACATTATACCTATTCTATAAAGCAAACTTCACCTGTTATAGTAACAGTAGCTTTCCATTGACTGATTTTTGAAATTGTTAGAAAGGAGTGATGGTAGCTAGCAAGATAAACTGACCTTGTTACTTGATTTTGATTACAGAACTGGCAGTGCTGTACAGACTTCTAGGTTTTACAGACTAGGACTTGATATTCATTTTCCTAATCTCACTCTGAACCATCCTTTATATTTCATGTGCTCAGTTGACAGATTTACATTTTGTGCCTGAGATTTGACTTTCCTTATAGTTTCTAGCTTCCTGTTAATGTGCTGAAATGTGTTATTCTATTATGTAGTACGTTGGCACCTTTATCGTGACCTATGAAGTCTTAGGGAAGATACATTTTATGCTAGAATCAGCATTAATTTATTTGCATTCAGATAGTTTTATCTAGTTGATATTTTATTTTGTTATTTTTTTTCAGAGCTCATTTAAACTCAGATTTTCAAGGTCTGCTATTAGGGAAATGCCATAAACATAATTTGTCTACTCCAGGAAAGGCAAATGGAACATCAAATGGAGATCAATAAAAATGACATTTCAAAACGCTAGCCTGCAATTTGTGAATCATGCTGAGCCATGTGGCAGAATGAATTTCTTTTCCCCCTGGGGTATATGTAGTAAGTACAAATAAGGAGAGAGCACTGAGTAATCCTTAACTCTTCATGGTTTCATGTTCTTGCTACCAAACTTAAAAAAAAAATCTTGTGTCTGATGGTTTCCAGAGGGGAGGGGTGTTGGGCCATTGGATGAAAAAGGTGAAGGGATTAAGAAGTATAGATTGGTAGTTACCAAGTAGTCATGGGGATGTGTAGTATAGCATAGGAAGTATAGTCAGTAATATTGTAATAATTATGTGTGGTGCTGGGTGAGTACTGGAAATATTAGGGGAAACACTTAGTAAAATAATATTGAATGTAAGCTGTAATTGAAAAGTAAAATTAAAAAATATGGTCTAATAACAAAAAAATAAAAGTAAAAAAACCTCCTGTCTGAATGTTAAATTTAAAGCAGTATGGTTGAATGATTATGATGTGATTTGGAATAGAGAGAAATATGCACAGTATCTCAGTTTATCTTTTATCTTATTGGTTGATAAGCAATAAAGCTTTCTGAAGGACAACTCTGACAAGGCACAAAGATATATAAATGGAGGATATTTAACAGTGTTCTTCTATTTATTATTTATTATTTTATTTTAAAATTTCTTTTCACCCTCATTTATTAAATTTAAAATTTATTAAATTTTAAATTTATTATCACCCGAGGATATTTTTTCCATTGCTTTTCAGAGAGAGTGGAGAGGAGAGAGAGAGAGAGAGACATCAGTGTGAGAGAGACACATCGATTGGTTGCTTCCCGCACGCTCCCTGACCAGGGCCAGAGATCGAGCCTGCAACCGGGGTATGTGCCTTTGGCCAGAATCAAACCCAGGACCCTTTAGTTTGTGGGCTGGCGCTCTAACCATTGAGCAAAACCGGCTAGGGCAACAGTGGTCTTCTTTTAAACATAATTGAACTTAGTGCCTTAAGTGCCTTAAGGTAGTCCTATATAGTGAGTGAACTGTCACACTGGCCCCTCGTTGCCTTGGACTTTATTTCACCTCTCTCTCCTGATTTTGCAGCTTCCACCTTTAGTTGGCATCACAGAACCTGACGCAACTTCATCCACTTGGGGATCCTCCTTGTTTTTTTCCCTATAAAGCCCTTGATTGTTGTCCTTCTTTCAACCATATCAAACGTTTGCTCTGTTGCTCAGTTTTGGTGCCTGGCTGCCTATAAACTGTTTCAGGACTGAGTCATAGGCTGATGGTGGTGACACCCACCTGTAGCTTCAGCAGTGCTCAGTACTGCATCCAAGAGATGACAGCGTGAAGAGCCAGGACCAAGTTTGCACGTGGGTGGACACTCCCTGCCATGCCTGGCCTCTGTCTGGCTGACAACAATTATAAATCTTATGTCAATGTCCTACATGCTAAAATGTGAAAAAATAGGTTTCTTGGAAGTGAGGAAATAGTGTGGTTGGTTTTTGCTTTGTGATCCAGTCTGACAGGCTTTCTTTTAATGGGTGGATTTAGCCCATTTTCATAGTGGATATAATAAATAGGCTTGGTCTTAGTGTTGCTGTATTTTATGCTTTCTGTTTTTATTTCTTCTTTTGGTTCTCTTTCATTGTATATGGTCTGCGTTTGCTTTGCTTGTTTTAATGTACACTTCCATGTTTTTGTTGTTATGGTTGCTTTTGTGACTTCCTGTGGCGTATTCAACCCATTTACTTTTTATCATTCATCTAAAAATGAGAAATGATGAACCTAGTATGTTTCTTCCTGTCTCTTTCTCAGTCACTGGCTGATTTTATTTGATTGTTTCCTTTTAGGGTTAATGCACCTTTGAATATCTCTTCCAGCGCTCATCTCCTATGCTGCTGAAATTCATCTGGCAATTTTTATTTTTTAAATAAAAGTTTTATTAATAAAAAAATTTAAATAAAAACTTATATGTGGCTATTATATGATTCCATTGATATGAGCTGTCCAGAATAGGCAAATCTATAGAGACAGAGTATTAGTGGTTTTTAGAGGCCAGGGGTGGCGGGAATTGTGGGGTGACTGCTGATGGGTACCAGGTTTCTTTTAGAGGTGATAAAAATGTTCTGCAGTTATATTGTGGCAATTGTGCCTAAAAACCACTGAATTGTACACTTTAAAAGAGTGATTGTGTGGTATGTGAATTAAATTTCAGTAAAGAGACCTGTTTGTGGCGATAGAATCAAATAGTTCTGTGAGGTTTTACAAAGAGCAATACGCCTGTCTCCACCCATGCATTTCCCCCTCCCCAGAAGCAGGCACAGTCAGCTCTCCTGGCTAATCCTTTTAGAATTCACCTTCCTATCTGTAGAATACCAAACATGCTTGGCTTATACTTCTTGATTTATCAGTTTTGGGAATTGTCTGTTTTTTTTCATATGGAAGATGAGGGTTTATCTTTCCCACCTCTCTCTGCTCCCTCTCCTCCAACCTCCCCCATCCCATACTTTTTACACCTTAGTCTTATATGGTTGTATCATGAATTTGGTTAGGTTCAAAATTTAGTGTTTGCATTATTATAACCATATAATAACAGCTGTACCACTCACTCATCTGTTTCCTTCTCTTATCATTCACTGGGCTGTCAGTTGTCCAATACCTTAAAACTGTGGCTTCATGTATTTTGTCTGTTTAGAAAATTTTTGAGGGCCAGGATGGAAAATCTGGCCTCTGTTACTGTATCATGGCTGGATGTGGGCATCTTCGACACAACATTTAATAATGAAAGGTAACAGCAGTAAATTTAATGCTTCTGTGGCTGCAACGTACTGGTTCTTTCCACTTGCATTTCATGTGTTAGGGGCCCTTTTCTTTACTAACATTCTTTCTGTGAATTACTATAAAAGTTTCTTCTAATATTGCTGTCCTTTTTCTTTCCAGTCATAGATAAAGCTGTCAAAAGAACAGTTATCACAGAAATAGAAACATTTAAATATTGGCATGATAAGCTTATTTCTTGCTGTAGCCATTCAGAATATCTATTTGTTACTGCCTTGGGTGCTTTGAAATGAAACTGTGCTTAGAAATAAAATGTTTTAAAACCCACTTTGATTCTACATTAAGTTATTTTTTCCAGTGAAGTTCCAGAGTTTAGTTCAATTGAAACCGTGTGACTCTTCTCAGACTAGAAGAATCCTTTAGTGCACTATTTGACACGCTTAGATTTGGACATTCCTGACCCTCTATGAGCCTCGATAAGCTTATTTATTTGTCTTTTGTTTTTCTTCCTCTCATTTCATAGCTGGCATAGCATATACAAAGTCAGCAGTTTTTAAAACATACTGACCGTGATGATTTTCTCTCTTTACTCATCCCAAATAAGAAGAAAAAAGAAAACAAAAGGCCAAGGTGGTGACTTTGAAATCAGATATAAAGATGACTTGAAAGATTGGATTCTATCTTTCAAATGGGATTCTAATATTTTTTAAGGCTTTGAACTTCAACTGGCTGTTTGGGGGATGAGCTTCTCAGAACTGCCTCCATCAGTATTGCTAAGAATAGAGGAACTTTGTAGGAACATTTGTTCTTTTAGGAGGTAATTTTTCTCGCTAAGTATGCCATAAGAACTTGAAGAATGATCTTAATTTCTCATTTTAAAATGACTGTCGTACTGAGCCAGACTGTTTAACACTTCGAAGTTAGAGCACATGGATTTGTCAATAAATTTAAACGTGATAGTGGTCTCCATTACTACTAAGTTGTTTGAGTAGTATATTATGTTCACATTTTAAATGGGTATTGATCTTCATTCAGTGACCGAATTGGAGCATCTCAATTCTCATGAAATTGCTGATTCTCTTCCACTTTGTAGGCGTGCAGCCAGACATAAATTCTAGCCAACAGTCCACAGATTTTTCTTACCTCTGCTTCTTTATGCAGTAGTCTTTAGGAAATAATACTTTTTGCATACTAAAAATAGCAAAAGTAAATTGTCTTTAAAACAACAAACCTAAAATATATTCCTTTGTGTTCTGTTGTGTCTTGAAGGTACTTGAAGTTTGTTGAGTTGCCATTGTCTCAGAGAAAGTTTTGTCAAAGATGTCAGCAGCTGCTCTTGCCAGACGACTGGGAGAAACATCGTGAGCATCAGGTCCTAGGTGATATATCTGTCGCCCAGTTAAAAAGGCCCAGTCAGCTCCTTTCTCCGCTGGAAAACAAGAAGACGAATGCTCAGTATTTGTTTGCCGATAGGAGCTGTCAGTTCTTGATAGACTTACTTTCAACCCTTGGGTTCAGGAGAGTGCTGTGTGTTGGAACACCAAGGTATGTTATGTGATTTTTTAAAGACTTTACCTAGCACCACTATTTAAACTGTAAGAAGAAATTATCAAGTTCCAGGATATAGCATAAAGCTTTGAGTATACAAAGTAGTATAAAGCTTAGTCCCTCTAAAGAAGTTTGCAGTCTGTATTCCATTTGAGAGAAATCTTTATCGATTTCTGATATACGATAGGAGATTCTTTCTGATTTGATTCTTAAATTGTTTATTATTTTAGACTTCTCTCAGAGAAGTTCTGCCTTTCTAAAAATATTTGCAAAACTGAAACTTTGGTTTTATCTGCCGAATTCTCTTCAGTGTTTTATTAAAATATTAGAAATATTAAGAGAACATTGAAAATTTTTTGGTTTATATATTACTTGTAACTTCTTCTTAAATCTGCTTTCACCGATTGCTTTAGGTTGCATGAGCTGATCAGGTTGAAAGCATCAGGTGACAAGAAGTCTAACCTTAAAAGCCTTTTATTGGATATTGACTTTCGGTAGGTTTATAAAGTATAATATTTATTCTCATTCATTGTCTCCTGTTTTTAATGTTTTCCTCTTTTTAATTGTTTATTACCCATTATAATAATCCTAGTTAACATTTAGAAGTAATTGGTTATAAGGCATTTTTTAGTCATATAAAGTCCATATGTAATCTTCTATATTTCAAACAGAGGCAGTGAATTTCTCTTTTTTTTCCTTTCTTTTCCCCTACTTTACCCTCTCCTACCTCCCCCCACTCCCCTTCCCTCTGGTAAAGTGAATTTCTCTTTTCCCTAGTGTGCTTCCTAAATTTTCTCCATGAATGTGCCTAGCTATCTTTGGCTTATAATTTAGAGATAAATTCCTATTGAGTGAAGTTTCCTCTCATATACTTGTTTTCAATGATCACCCTGAGCTTCCTCCAGGAGTTTGTTTCATCATGTTTTAAGTAGGATAAGACATTTAATATTTTTACCAGATGATGGGCATGTTGTTGTCTTTCACTGGACCTAGCCTAAGTGAAGGACGTCAACCTGGGGAGCAGACAGACCCCAAGGCTGAGGACTAGCCTACGGAGAGCTTCAGAGTAATAGGTGGGGACAGACGGATTTGAGACAGAAAGAGGACCACGCCTTGACTCTCCCCTCTGGTGGTAATTTAAATGATACAGCCTTTTGATTTATAACACTACATGGCAAATATGTTTATGCACAGTCTATATAAATTCGGTAAATTTGAAGTACTCTTCTAGTTGCTGTAATTATTTAAATTCCTGGAGTTTGTGGTGAGTCTATAAGAAACTGTGATTTAGTATCTTGAATATATTGAAGGAATCAGGCTTTGTGTTTCTTTTTATTTAATATGTTAGAGTCTGTTTGGCTAATATTCCAATATTTGTTGGAGAAAATCTATGAAATTACATATACTTTTTCTCACTAAAAACAAGGCACACAGATATTTAAAGTGAAAAAGTCACACAAAAAAGTATAGCTTTTATACTTTATTTTTACTTAGATTTCCAAGTCACATTTGGGTTATCTAAATATAAGCAGCTATTGCCCTAGCCAGTTTGGCTCAGTGGTTAGAGCATTGGCCCAGACTGAAGGGTCCCAGGTTCAATTCCGGTCAAGGGCCCATACCTCGGTTGCAGGCTCAGTCCCCAGCCCTGGCTGGGGTGCGTGCGGGAGGCAACCAATCGATGTGTGTCTTTCACATCAATGTTTCTTTCTTTCTCTCTCCCCTTCCATTCTCTCTGAAAAGCAATGGGAAAAAACACCCTCCAATGAGGATTAAAAATAGATAAATAAATAAAATAAGCAGCTACTTTTCTTAGGAATAACCCACACTTTCTGAACCATCCATTTCTTGTTAACAGGACTAACAGTTTAGGAATATCCGCTTGACATGAGTGATCTTGGCAAAATGGAATTCCATAACTGACAACACAGAGTCCTTAAAGATAGACTCAGTTTCTTTTTCTAAATTGAGAGAGAATTTACTTAAAATTTACCATTTTAAAATATATATTTCTGCAGTTTTTGGTATATTCACTATGTCTTGTAACCACCATCACTATTTAATTCCAGAATACTGAAAAGAAACTCCTTACCCATTCCCCTGACAACCACTGATCTGCTTTCTGTCTCCATGGATTTGTCTGAGTGTTTTATATAAATAGGATCATACAATGTGTGATCTTTTGTGCCTGATTCTTTCACTTAGCATGTTTTCAAGGTTTATCCACGTCATAGCATATAACAGTACTTCATTTGTTTTATGGCTGTGTAATGTCCCATTGTATATAGATATATTAATTTCTTTTTTTAACTACCATGTTTTTTCCTAAAGTAGTAGGTTGTTAAGTAATTATAAATGTTTATTTTAAAGGTAGAAGTTTAACTTTTGGATTCTTTATTGTAACAATATTAATAATAACTGGTATTTATTGAGTGCTTGTCATGTGTCAAGCCCTGTTCTAAATCATTTGGTCCTTACAGTAGCCCTATACGATAGATGCTGTTGTCCTCACTTTACAGATGGAAAAACTGAGGTGCAAAGAAGTTAAATAACAACCAAAGTCACAATTTAAAAGTTGCCAAGTCAGGATTCAAACCCAGTCAGTCTGGTTCCAAAATAAGTTAGCCTCTGGATATAGCTTTGCTTTTGAAATTATACATAAGCCTTCCTCATATAGTCCATTTCTCTCTTGTCATCCTCCTGTCTTTCCTTTTCTGCCTCTATCCCCCTGCCTAGTTCCACAGTGGTTTTCAAATGAGTCAATAACTGGTTTCCAGATTATTCATATATTCAAAATAAGGCATTCATATTAGTCTGGAATCTTTCTTTCATTAGATTCCTAAAAATTCATTTATATCAAAGAAACTGCATTGGATCACATTACTGGAGTCTGTGATATAGCAGGCTTTAGTTCAGTCAAGATCCTGGGCCTCACACGATGTTGTTAGGGGTCTGTCTTTCTCTCTCTACTTCTCATCTGTCTTTCTCTGTGGGTGGGTTTTATTCTACAGACAGCTTCCTTCATACTGCCAGGGACTTTGCTGGGCAGTAGCTTTAGCTTACGTAGTCTCAACTTAACTGCCCAGGAGGAAGAAGCTGTCTTTCCTGAGTGCTCTAGCAGCAAAACTCCAGGGAGTCCTCCACTTAGCTTGCCTGGGGTCATGTGCCCATTCCAGAATCATCACTGTGGCCTGACAGATAGAGTGCTCTGGCCTGCCCCTGACCAACCACATGAAGTGGGTTCTCCATGGGAAACAGGGAGGCATAGGTGCTGGAGAAACAAACGAAATCCTATGTCCACAGATGAATTATTTAATGCAATAGGTATCAGTTGTCAGCAGCACTAAAATCCCTACTTCGTCACTTCAGTGAAAATGGTAGTGTTGTCTTTCCAATAGTATGGTTTCTTGAAATTAAATTATATAATGAATGTGATTTCATTAAAGACAAGCTTTTTCCAAGCTAGTTGTGGCTTATACACAAAAGAGCTGGAAAAAATCATAGTGTTTCATCTCAAAGAACTTGTTCATTTTCCAAGGATCTCTGGTTTACTTTTTTTCATTTTGAAGGAAACATGATCTTTAATGTTTTCACCCCAAGCATTTTGGATTTTGGCTTTTTAGACCTTTTTTATGCCTTTAAAATTTTTAAAAAGTAGATTCATAACTTATAGTCTTTTTTTTCACTTGCTGTATTTTAGGCACATTTTAAAAAATTGAGATATATTTTACATACATTTTTAGTAGTATTCACAAGGCTATGCAGTCATCACCATTGTCTTATTCCAGGACATTTCCATCACCTTTGAAAGAAACACTTCCAATAAGCAGTGTTTCTTCATTTTCCCCCTCCCCTAACCCTTGGCCACCACTAATCTACTTTCTGCCTCTTCTGGATATTTCATATAAATGGAATCATATAATATGCGGCCTTTAGTGTCTGGCTTCTTTCCATAATATTTTCAAGGTTCATCCATGTTGTAGTATGCATCAGTATTTCATTCCTCTTTATGGCTGAATAATATTATATTGTATGGATATACCAAATTTTGTTTATCAGTTGATGGGCATTTGGGTTGCTTTCACTTTTTGGCTATTATGAATAATGCTGCTATGAACATTTGTGTACAGTTTTGTTTTCATGTCTCTTGGGTATTAATTTGCTAGAGCTGCCATTACAGAATACCATAGACTGGTGGGTTAAACAACAGAAACTTATTTTCTCATAGTTTTAGAGGGTAGAAGTCCAAGATCAAGGTGTTGGTAGGTTTGATTTCTTCTAAGACCTCTCTTCTTAGCTTGCAGATGGCAGCCTTCTTACTGTGTCCTCACATCATCTTTCCTCTGTGTGTGCACATCCTGCTGTCTTAGTGTGTGCATATTTCCTCTTCTTGCAAGGACACCAGTCATATTCATTAGGGCCCATCCTAGGGACCTCATTTTAACTTAATCACTCCTTTAAAGGACCTATCTCCAAATACAATTATATTTTGAGGTACTTGGGGTTAGGGTTTTAACATACGAATTTTGAGGGACACAGTTAAGGCCATAACAGGTGTCTGCCTAGGAGTAGAATTGCTGGGTCATATGATAATTCTGTATTTAACTTGTTGAGGAACTGCCAAAATGCAGTTAACTGCATTTTATTGATGGCTTATGATGTTGAGCATCTTTTCATGTGCTTGTGGGCCATTTGTTTATCTTTTTGGAGAAATGTTTATTCAATCCTTTGCCCATTTTTAATTGGTTGTCTTTTTATTGTTGAATTGAAAAAGTTCTTAATATATTATGGATACTAAACCCTTATTGGATATATGGTTTGCAAATAATTTCTTTCATTCTGTTGGTTGTCTTTTTATTTTTGATGAAGTCCACTTCTTTTTTCTTTGGTTGCTTGTGTTTTATATATCATATCTAAGAAACTATTGCCTAGTACAAGGTTATGAATATTTATACCCGTTTTCTTCTAAGAGCTTTTTATTTTAGTTCTTGTATTTAGATTATTGATTTATTTTGAGTTAATTTTTATATATGGAGTTAGGTAGGGGTCCACTTCATTCTTTTGCATAGTTGCCTTGGAATCATTTGTTGAAATGATTCTTCTTCCATTGAATTGTCTTGGTGCCGTATTGAAAACCAAATGACCATAAATGTATGAGTTTATTTTTGGAGTCTAAATTCTAGTCTATTAATCTGTGTTTCACACAATCTTGCTTATTGTTGCTTTGTAGTAAGTTTTGAAATTAGGAAATGTGAGTCTTCCAACTTTATTCTTTTTCAAGATTGATTTGGCTCTTTTGGGTTCCTTGCATTCTATGTGAATTTTAGGATCAGCTTGTAAATTTCTACAAAAAAGCCAGCTCTGATTTTTTTATAGAGATTTCATTAAATTTGTAGGTCATTTTGGTGAGTATTACCATCTTAATATTAAGTCTTCCAGTCCATAAACATGAGAGTCTTTCCATTTACTTAGGTCTTCTGTAAATGATATTTTGTGGTTTTCAGTGTATAAGTCTTGCACTTCCTTTGTTAAATTTATTCCTAAATATTTTGTTCTTTTTGTTATTGTAAATTGTTTTCTTTAATTTCATTTTGTATTATTCATTGCCATTTCCTTGATTTACTTTTTAAGAAAAACAAAATTGTGACAAAATATACATAGCATGAGATTTACCATGTTAACCATTTCAAATGTACTATTTGGTAATGTTAAGTAAGTAAAGTACATTTACATCATTTGTGCATCCATTCTCCAGATTTCTTTTAATCTTACCTGACTTAATTTTAATTTGAAAGATTTAAATGGCCCCATAACTCTTTTGCCTTAAATGCTATACCTTGTGATTTTACCTTTCTTGAGCCTGGAGTTGCAATCTCTTGGTTAGAGTAGGGAGTAGGGTATGTGGGTAAAGTTATTTTTATAACTAATGGAATACACTGATACTTTTTTTTCATCTCTCTAAACCTCTGTGTGTGTTGCAAACAAAAGTCAAGGTGTTGTATTAAGAATATCCTAGCTTAGTTTCTTTGATCCTGTACTCTCTTACTGAGTGAATTCTACAAAAGGTCAATATTGAGTGTTAAGAGAGAGCTGGTCTATTGAAACACAGGAGTAGCCAGAATGAATTCAGTCTGCTGCCTGTATTTACAGTATGGTGGAGTGTGTGGTTGGTTCAGAATTGTCACAATTAAATCAGGAAAAAATTCCTGTGTGATATAGAATGGCAGTAAATAGTTACTGTTGTCATTTTGACTTTGGTTTGTTGTTGCCCTGCAAAAGGTCTGTCAAGGCTGCAGAGAACTGCCTCAACTCCAGCGTTTTATGTAGATGTGCTATAAATATCCTTTTTAGGGGGTTTAAGATATGAAGTTAACATTTACTAAGATGGATTTCTATATGCTCTAATTTTAGCATTAGAGATGTGAAACTCTATTTGGCAAACTATCATCCAAATAAAGTTATATCAAAAAAATGGATTTCTTGGGTTCATTTCATGAACTGATTTTATTCAGCTCTTGATTACATTTCCTGTGTGTAGAGCATGTTTCACACTTGGTAACTGACTCATTTAAAGAGAATGAATGGCCAAATTAAATGAATGTCCTTTTGAGCATTTTTCAAGTGCATGCATTTCTGATTGGTTTTGTTTGCCTTATTGAGTGGAGAGAATAAGTCTTTGTGGCCAATTTCATTTTAAGAGGGTAATGTTGAGTGATTTTTCATAATTTAAAATATGAATAATTATGCTCCCTTGTTTGTATTCGGTGAAACTTAGAGCTGAAATCTAGGCTTTTTTCTTTCTCTGGCTCTGCCCACTGCTGCCCAGAAAGTTTTGGGCAGCTGTGCTGTGTTGAATTTTATGTAAATAAAAATTTTTTTTAATTAAAAAAAATGACTATTGTGTCATTGTAAAGCAGTGAAAAATGGAGAGAGAGGTGGTAGAAATATATTTAAAAAGGGGTTGTATTTTTTTTGTTTTGTTTACACAAAGCAATGCAAGAGAGAAGAAAAAACTCTCAAATGATAGTTTACTCACAGCTGTACTAATATTGATAGATACGTATTATTTAAATAACTGGGATATATATATATATTATCAGCTATTTGGAATTTAATTAAAGAGGAAGACATTTGTTTATTAATGGTAATTGACATTGTTCCACACTGTTTGGAATGTTCATTAAGTTACAGTATATAGTTAAAATATTTTTCAGTTATCCAAACCTTTTGTTTGTTTCTTCAATGCAAATTTGTTTTATGAAATTAGCAGATGTACTGACAGTATCTTAAATAATATTATGGGATAACATATTGAGAATGGTGAACAGCTGTCTTCATCTCCAGAACAAGAAGAAGTGGTTTAGATTATAGGAGTGGAGATTTTGGTTAGATGTAAACATAATTCCCTAATAGTAGGGCATTAAGACATAGATCTTTATAGCTGGTGTTTATTAAAATAATGATACCTAACATTTCAGTATATGCTGTGTAGCTGGCACTGTGTTAAGCACTTTACATACATTTTCTTATTTATTCTTACCAAGGCCTATGATGTGGAAACTACTATGTTTCTCATTTTGTAGATGAGGAAACTGGGGCTCAGATAGGTTAAATAACTCACTAAAGTTACACTGCTAATAAGTGAGACCCAGAGTTTGAAACCAGACCATCTGACTATAGAGCCTGTGCTTTTAGTCACAGTGTAAAAGGCAGAGGGCAAGCCAGGGTTGCCCATTATAATACTATGGTTGGTGAATCAGGCATAGACAGTGATGGGTCACTGAGAACAGGAGTAGACCCACGAAGCGCTGCTGTCGTGATCTCATTGAAGAAGTCGTATAAGTGAGGATGTGTCCCTGATTTTTTTTTCAGTCTTTCCACTAGGTTATGCATTCTGTAGAAGGATGATGCAATTCATATGTGAATTGTTTAAAACAAAATTGTCAAAGTTCAAAATCCTACTGAGATAAAAATGAGGTTTCTATAATATATGAAAAACTCAGAAATCAGCAAGACAGACATTAAGACCCATATACATAAATGGAGAAAACAGAGACAGACAGTACAAATACACCGAAGGAAAGAAGAAATCTCAGTCTTATAAGAAATCAAATAAAAGCAAATTCAGACCATTATGTGGTATGAATTTTACCTAGTAAATTAGCAAAAATTTATAAAATGTTAATACCCAATGCTGGTATTCTCATTCATTGCTGATGGCATTTTAAAGTAGTGTGTTACTACACTTGAAACTAATATTATATGTCAACTGTAACTGCAAAAAATTTTTTAATTAAATGAAAAATTTCTTTAAATAAAGTAGCATGTTAGAAGAATAAAGTGATTCAATCAGTAAATAAATATCCCTCTTTCCTGGCATTAATTCAGTAAATAGGAAATGCACATTCTTTTTTTAATGTATTGGAAAGCATATTTTATAAAGCAAATATGCACTAGACAAGAAAACCTTTGCATTAAGTACTTTTTTTGTGTGAATCACAGAAGAAAATACAGTAATTAACAGCTATTGAGCAGAAATGTTGATTTAGTATTTTCCTTAAAATTATTAACTGTGATAGATGTCTTTTAATTGCCAACCTATCTCAAGCTTAAACTGCATAATAATCTACCAGTAACCTGATTGTTTATGTATGCTCTTCTGGCCCATAAGAACATATATATTTTATATATAAGCGTTCCATAGTTTTATCACTGCTTTCTTAAACTTGGAAAGATAATTTAAGTTTGTCATCATCCACTGTTACCGGCTGAGATTTTGAGAAAGTATTCTTTACTTGAAAACACTTAAAGCATGATGAAATAGCTTTTATTAAAGGTGAGATTTCATAGTTTTAAATTTTAGTTTATATTTATTTATTGTATAACTATGACTAGACAAGTAACTCCGGTAATAAGCAAATTATTTTACAGGTATTCGCAGTTTTATATGGAAGATAGCTTTTGCCATTATAACATGTTTAACCATCACTTCTTTGATGGAGAGGTAAGAATTATAACCATTATCTCTTTCTTCTCTTGTGGAAGAACAAATTCAAGAGTATCTCCTTTGTTATTTTTCCAAAGTCCCTTAAGAGCAAATTGTGCCTGTTCCACCATTTACTGATAGAGATATTTTATTCATTAACTGTGTATGTACTGAGCTTCTAGAATTGATCAAATTAGTTCTCTTTCATGACTATTCACTACTTTTTGAGTAAAGACCCACTTTCTTTCCAAGGCCCATGTGGCTCTGTGTGTCTGACCCCTGCCACTCTTGAGCCTCTCCTCTCCCTGCTCCTGCTCTGCTGTTTGTGTTCAGGACACATGATTTTCATCTTGAACTTCCATCTGTAACTGGCCTTTTCACCACAGGGTCTTTTTGCCCATGTTGTTTCCTCTGCCTTCTACTCTCTTTTTGCCTCCTTAACTTGACCTCATGCTTCAAAGCTCTGTTCTAAGTCACTTTCTCCAGTCTCCCTTGAGCCCCAGGCAAGGTCAAGTTCTCCTTCAGAGAGTTTTGATAGTTAAATAGTTCTGTGGTAGTTTGGTATATACCTCCTTGGTAAATTTCACGTCCCAGTTAAGGAGATTTGTGGTTTCATTAGATTAATCCTTAAAAAGTAGTATTAAGAGTGCACCCTAATGTAAACTATGGACTCTGTGTGATGAAGATGTGTCAATGTAGGTTGATCAGTTGTAACAAATATACCCCTCTGGTGGGGAATGTTAATAATGGGGAGACTGGGCATGTGGGATATCTCTGTACCTTCTCAATTTTTCTGTGAACCTAAAACTGCGCCCAAAAAATAGTCTTAGAAAAAAGATAGTGGCTTAAAACAGAGCTTTCAACATGATGTTAATAGTGTCACTGTGAACAAACAGCACAGCAGAGCTGATCCTCCCACTCCTAGTTTGAGCTCTTTGTCAGTCTTATTACAAAATAAAAAATAAAACCACAGCCAACCAAGTAGTCACACCTGACAGGAGGTTATAAATTTGAAAATGTTTTGGAATTATCAAGACTACTTGAAGCATATCTCTGAGTGTGTGTGTCTGTGTGTTTGTGCGCATGCGCTATGCTTTAGTATATATTGTGCTTTAAGATACTAGCTAATGACAGAATGAAAACAAAGCAAGACTGAAAAACTAAGCATTTAGGAAATGAAAATAAATTCTGAGTTGTAGGTTGGGATTGAAAATGAGTCTCTTAATTTAGTAAGTACAGCCTCCCATCAGAATCAGTTTGGCATTGGGATAGATCTATTTTTTAGCCGTGATAGCATGAAAAGCAAGTGTTGAAATAAATAACAGAATTAGATGCATTTTACTGTTTCCCAAAGGGTTTAGTGGTTCATCACTAGGATTTGAGGACTGATTCGTGTGAAGGAGCGAGGGGTTGAAAAATCATGTGACAACAAGTGATGAGGGACTTCTCAACTAGGACAGTGGCAGTGGGAAAAAGAGGAAAGATGTGGATTCTATAGGCATTTCACAGATGGAAACAAGAAGACATGGTTGTAGTCATGTTGTACAGTTGAAATTTAAAAAGCAGTACCTCGATTTTTAAAAAAAAGACTTGGTGATAAGTGTTTTTGGGAAGTCAAAGATGACTTGGTGTGACCTGGACTCTTATTTCATCAGAACACAGGGCAGAGAAGTTCAGAAGTGAGGTTTGGAAATGTTGAGTTTGTGGGGCTGGCGGTGTATTGATGTGGAAGCATCCAGTGTGGCCTCTTCAAACTGTGGAGCCTTGACCTCAGACTGGTGACAGAGATGAGGAAGTAACCGAGTTTATATTACTGCCCGACAATGCTGCAGGAGTGGGTCAGGGGTTGGTTATTTCTTTTTAATACCATGCTGTGATTTTGCTTCTTATTTTGAATAATAATGACAAGATTAGAGTAAAATTACATTTAAATACCTAATAAGTTGGCTAGCAATTTCATATACTTTAAGAAAGTAACATGCAATTAACCTTTTTTAGGAAATTCTATGTAACTTCGATTGAAAGTTTATAGAATTACCTTATGAGTTTCTAGAACAACGTTTAGAATAAGCTGCCAAGACTGAGCTCCACTTTATCTTTCCCAGTGGAAAACAGTCGTCCAGCTCAGACTTTCCTCTCTCTATTTTAGGAACAGCCTCTAAGTAGCCCTGTAACTGTAGAGATTGATCTACAGAAAACTATTTTAATGTTTTACACTCTGCCCTTTTTCTGTCTGCTTCCTGAGTCAAGGTTTTCAGTGAAGATGACCATCTTCTAATCAGTCACTAAGTATTTGGGGTCCACGAGGTGCCTGTGAAGGTGTGCAGGGCACTTTGGGGATAGAAGCCTCTGTCCCCCCACCCAGCACTTTGTAGTCCACTGGGTTAAATGCAGGCATTTCCTGCACAGGATTTTTCATAGCAAACAATAGAGTATTTGGATGACAAAAAGTGTCATATGAGTTAATGGTAAAGGGGTTTAAAGTATGTCTAGAGTGTGGCATTTAAAATGCCTAGCACTTTTTAGTGATAGCCGAGATGAAGAAAAGAGTTAAGTTACAGTCTGTGTCGGTGGCAAAAGGGAGCATCTGTTTCCAAAGGTGTCAACATTAGGATCCTTGGCAACTTAGGAACCCAGATTCTTACCTGGAAGGATTGTCTTAATGTTTTTTAAATTTGGTTAAGAGTTTAGGCCTAGTTTACGTGTTTATTTTCTTTTTTCTGCTTTTAACTCTAAGGAATCTGAAGGTTTTTTAGTAACATCATCTGTGCTTTAGGTCCTTATTCATGTAGGCAGGTTAAGAAAGTGCCAGGCAGCACTTGAAAAATGATTAACCTTCTTGACACACTATCCTTTGCTGTAGGACCTCCAGTAGGAAGCTAATAAAGACTCTCCTAGGAAAGGGATTGGGATGTGGTGCTTTTTCCTCTCATCGGTTGGGTCTTCTAAACTGATTTAGTAGTAGAACAATATGTATTTTATTATAAAGTAAATATAGGTTTATTAAAGTTTAAAATACCATTAAACTTTAAAAGGATATGCCACTTAGTATGTTGTTCACTGTTGATTGGCTTTTATAGATGAGTACATACTTGAAAACTATTACAAAGTCAGTTGACTGGAGTTATTATAGATGTGCTTCTCCCAAAGCAAAAAATTATACACATCCTTGACAGTGGTTAATGTTAACTTTGCAATTACTAAACATACTTCAACCAGTTTGCTGGGAAAATGTGTTACTAGCCTGGCTTCATGGCCTGGATAAGTGTTATTGTTTGTGACTGTCCCTTCGTTTATTTATTTACTGTGCATGTTCGGATGGATGTGTCTGTCACTTACCTGGTACTCAAAAACATGAGCATGTTTAACTGGTAATTGTAGCTCTTATTAAACTGAACACATGGCAGTGGACAAACCAGATAGGAAAGAAATATGTCTTGTCTTTGTGTCCCCAGTGTTTGGCACAGTCCCTGCTTCTGTTTGTTGAATTGAATTTCTCGTTGTAGATAGTGTTCATGGGTAATGAGTTTCTCTCTTTTAGGTTACTAAATTTAGTTTTTTAATTTAACCATTTGAAATGTGTAGGCCTCTGATAGTGATGGTATTTGAATTTGCAATTTAAAAATCTGCTTATCAAGTAACCCAAAGATAAAATCTCACAGGGGCTGAATGAGAGAGGCAGGAGGATGTCGGTGAGGGACTCTGGGGTGGCAGATGGGTGAAATTTCAGTACAAAGAGTGAGACCGAGCCCAGTGCATTCTCCTCCAAATAGGACGAAGTGCCTCCTTCTGGTCCTAATACAGAAATGAATTTTTATTTGTTCCAGGTTGCCCTTGAAGTATGCAGAACATTTTTACAGGAAGATAGAGGTGAAGGAGTCATTATGGTGACAGATCCTCCTTTTGGTGGCTTGGTTGAACCTCTGGCTGTTACATTCAAGAAGTTAATTGCTATGTGGAAAAAAGGTCAAAGCCAAGGTGTGTAATTTATTACATACTGCAAAATAAACATGTATCTATATATATGCTTTCTGTCAAATGTTAGCAGATCTCAGTGAATCAGGGCACTGATAAAATATGCATGCCTTGGGTTCTGGGCTTTTTATAAAATAGGCTTATTTGATAATGGAGCATATTTTATCATCATGATACACTTTGTATTGTCTTAATCATGTGTTTTTAAAATGGCTCGTACGTAAAAAATTTTGGGGAGGGGCATAAAGGGACTTTATGAAGAATAGCAGTGAATTGCCATTTTTTCAATGAAAGGCCGCTATGAACTAGGTACTGTTTAGGTGCTAGACTTAGAGTAGTAAACAAGACAGCCACATAGCTCTGTCGTCATGGACTTGACATTTCCTGTTCCTAAAGTCTTGCCCAGAACTCTAAGATGGCACCTGACCTCTGGTCCAGAATGCTAAACTGCCACAATTTGGGTGAGAAAGTCATATCCAGTGGCCTGACAGTGGTTATCAGTGACACACAGATAGGTCCTAGAGGCAGAGTATTTGGCTGAGGGTTGTTACTCCATTATTTCAAGTGCCTTGGGACTTCCAAGTATTTCATATAGTCATTTAATTGGTCTGTACAGTAATTTTTTAGTTTCCAGCTCACCAAGTTGATAAATTTTAAGTGTCAGGAGTTTGTGATCAAGTTTCTCCATCAATTGTGCTACATAGTGTGTTTTGGAACAGAATGCAAACAAAATCTAAAATATGACTCATAGTTTTAAGTATTCCACTTATTTTCAGTTCTCAAGTCACTTTATCAGAGTGGATAAAGTGTATGTTATTGGGGAAGCAATAGAGAGCTTCATGGGCTTGAATTCCAGTTCTGCCACTTATCTGTTGCATGAACTTGAACCAATTACTTAAATCTCGTGACTTCATTTTCCCCTTATGTAAAATGGGACTGTTTTATCTAACTCTGTAGGTTATTATATGCAGATAATATATAGAAAGTACCTAGCATTGTGCTCAGCCTATTATTAGGTGCTTTGTAAATAATAGCTGTGTTCCTGCCACTTGTAAAAATTAATATATTTCCCACTTTTTTTTATAACGTCTCTGCCTTTACAAATACTATTGTGATATGCATGTAAGGATTACTTCACATACCTTTATAGCTGTGTTTAGATACAAAAGAACATTTCCATTGCCTTTGGGAAAGGTCTCGTTGTAAATGGCGCTCAAAAGGACATTCCTTCCTTTTGAATGGTTTAAATGTATTGAATGATTATAGTTTCTTCTGATATCAGAAGCTTTCTAGTTATAGCTGTTTTATTTTTTCTTTATTATCAATTTCTTACCTTTCCCCCCTTTTTGTGATCCATTAGATAACAATCACAAAGAATTACCCATTTTCTGGATTTTCCCTTATTTTTTTGAATCCCGAATTTGTCAGTTTTTTCCAAGCTTCCGCATGCTGGACTATCAGGTATGGTAAATATTCTGTCTTTTTGCATGGTTGGGGAATGTATATTTAGCTTAAATAAATATTCTGATAAGACTCTCTGTCAGTTTTAGTAAATGAAAATACTATAAACTGTGATAAACACTAAAATACCATATGTAGCTTAGTCGAGTGGTACTCAAATGTCTGTTATCCTTATGGTGCTTATTAAAAAATATATTCTTGCCCGGCTGGGCGTGGCTCAGTGGTTGAGCATCGGCCTAGGATCCAGGCAATTGGGGTTCGATTCCTGGTCAGAGTACATGCCCGGGTTGTGGGCTCGATCAAGGGAGAGGGAGAGAGAATAGAAACATCAATGATTCCCATCTCTCTTCCTTCCTCTCTCTGAAATCAATAAAGATATATTTTAAAACATATATATATATATATATTCTTAGCCTGGCCGGTGTGGCTCAGCAGTTGAGCATCGACCTATGATCCAGGAGATCACAGTTCAGTTCCCGGTCAGGGCACATGCCTAGGTTGTGGGCTTGATCCCCCAGTGGGGGGCATGCAGGAGGCAGCCGATCAATGACTCTCTCATCCATTGATGTTTCTCTCTCTCTCTCTCCTTCTCCCTTCCTCTCTCTGAAATCAGTAAAGATACATTTTTAAAAAAATTTTAAAAATAAAATAAAAGTATATTCTTAGGTACCAAAATAAACCTACTAATCAAAATCAGAGGGTGGAGCCCCACAAAAAATATTTTACTAAGCTTCCTAGGTGATTTTGAAATGCAGCTGGGTTTTAGACCAACTAGTCTAGTCTTTTATCATCACCAGAAGATTTTATAGCACCCCAGGTAATGCAACAGGTTTTCTCTGTTTAGAGGTTGTAGAGAAGTAAATAGCTTCTTCTGGTCCGTAGACTGCCATGAACACTTTATTGTGCAACTCTGAGGGTTCTAGGAGCTCTAAGGCGAGGTGTGCCTCAGGTCATGGGGCATCAGAGAGCAGAGATGCTGAGGTCTGTGAATGTGAGCGTGAGTGTGCTGATTCAGGGTGGAATTGACTAGACCTTCACATCTCTGCCCAAGGCCCTGGGAACCTGCCTTAGGTGAGAAGAGACACCAGAGGCCATGGGGACCCTGCCTTTCAACCCGGTTTTCTGCTTTAATGTCCATTTTGCTGTGTTCCTGTCCTTGAGTTCTGAAGTTAACCCCATGTTGCTATAACTGTGTGTGGTCACCCAGTGGGCACTGCTTCCTCTTTGTAATTATATTTTTCTATTTTAGTTTTCTGAGCAATTGACTATCCTCTGATGAAGGCTCTTCGTCCCTATAACTGTAAATGTCTTCACTAGTTATTCCAAGCCAGCAGTAGTTTCTAATCTTTCTAGTCTTGAGGATATTCCATTACGAAAATTATTTAGGAGTTCTGAAAGGAGTGATGTTACTGAAAATGAGGGGACAGTCCATGCCTGTGATTTCACCCCAAATAGCAAATACAATTTTGCAGTATTTACTTCCAGTCTCTTAATTTTAAAAGCAGTTTTACATATTTGTAATCATAGCTGATGAATTAGAATTCTGTTTTCTTCACTGTGTCTTATATAAATGTACATTTTTTTAATGTAGCTACATAATTATTATGCTTTTAATAACTGATTTATTTCATTGACAGGCTGTGTTACCATTCTCTTCTTTTTGGACTTACAGGTTGCTTCTACTTTTAAGGTCCTATAAATAACCCTACCATAAACATCTTTTATTCATATAATTTTCTCCCATGTTTTACATAACTTCCTTCAAATTCCAAAACTAAAATAGAATTCTAAAAATTACATTATCAAATTTAATGGACAGTTTGATGACTGTTGGACCATATTAACTGGTTCCTTCCCAAAAGTATTTAACACATGCCATTTTAACCTTGACTCTCTGAGCTCTGCTTTAGACAAAATCCACATCATAATTCTTCTTAGAGGTGGTTTTCTTTCCTTTTTCAGGCACCCAGTTTTCTGTTTCTTGTCTGCGGGATGCTTCTAATATTGACATTTGCAATGCAGAGGTAGCTGGCATATCCTAAAGATGTTAACTAAGTAAACTAGTTCCTGTTTCCAGGAGCATGTGCTGCCTTTGACAGTGAATTATTATCTAGTACAATGCTTGGCACATAGTAGGTGCCCTACATGTTGAACCAAAACTTAATTAAAAAGTTAGCATGAATTCTGGATTCGAAAGGAACTGAGCTTTAATCCTGGTTCTGCCACTCACTAGCGAGGCACATTTTAATCTAACTCTGAGCTCATCTTACCTGTCAAATGAGGATAGTAATACTGTATCTGTGTCAGGGTTTTAAGAATTATATGAGACAGTACATTGAAAAGGCTTAGCCTAGGCCCTAGAACACAGCAAATGTAGAGTAAAGGTTATTGCTATCAGCATTGTCATAATCATCACTATTGTCATTCAGATAGTCCCAAGGTGGGGGTAAAACTCTCCTCAGGACCTTTTTTGTACAGACTCTGAGACATTAAAATTGCAAAATACAAGGTCCCTCAGAAAACTGATCCATTTATTGTGGACAAGAGTTTGAAATGGTGAGAAGGCAACGGCAGATCTGGAATAAAGCGATGAGAAAGGTTAATGTAAAGTAATCCATTATCATTGGTTAGACAGCCTATTTTATTAGGAAAGAACTTTTGCAAATATTGGAGTTTTAGTTTCGAGAAATAGTTTCAAGCTTCAGGATTATTGGATTATAATAAATAATTTAGTGTATTATAAAAATAGGTTCTAATTAGGTCATGGGTATTGGACAAGGTGAAAAGCAATCTTCAATAAAGAGAAAGGCTACTTGTAAAAAGAAAAATTAGAATAATATCTGTAAAACAAAACAAATACTTGTTTTTCATGATTTCTATTGAAGATAGGAACACCACTGCTCATGACATGCTCATTGGGGAGACTGATTTCACCTTGTCTCTTGGAGCAGCGATTTTCAACCGTTTCCATCTCATGGCGCACATAAACTAATTACTAAAATTCTGTTGCACACCAAAAAATATATTATATTTTTAGCTGATCTGACAAAAAAATATAGGTGTAATTTTGATTCACCCACACCAGGCAGCTATTGTTGTGTTGGCTGTTCTCATATTTTTTGGTTGACCATCTTAAGGGAAAAGAGGTCAGTGCCCTGACTAAATAGTCAGCTATCGCATGTTTTAAAATCCCTGTGGCTCACCGGCTGAAAATCGCTGTCTTGGTGGATTTAAGCTTATTTGTTGTACCTCCCCTTTCATGATTTTTACCTTTGTTTCTGAAAATTTATCTGGACTTAACATTATTATTACCATCATAATCCTCCTCCTCCTCCTCTTCCTCCTCCTCTCCCTCTCCCTCCTCCCCCTCCTCCTCCTCTTCCTCTTCCTCCTCTTCCTCCTCCACATCCTCCTCCTCTTCCTCCACATCCTCCACCTCCACCTCCTTGTCCTCCTTGTCCTCATCCTCCTCCTCCTCTTCCTCCTCCTTGTCCTCCTCCTCCTCCTCGTCCTCTTCCTCCTCTTCCTCCTCCTCCTCCNCATAATTATTATGCTTTTAATAACTGATTTATTTCATTGACAGGCTGTGTTACCATTCTCTTCTTTTTGGACTTACAGGTTGCTTCTACTTTTAAGGTCCTATAAATAACCCTACCATAAACATCTTTTATTCATATAATTTTCTCCCATGTTTTACATAACTTCCTTCAAATTCCAAAACTAAAATAGAATTCTAAAAATTACATTATCAAATTTAATGGACAGTTTGATGACTGTTGGACCATATTAACTGGTTCCTTCCCAAAAGTATTTAACACATGCCATTTTAACCTTGACTCTCTGAGCTCTGCTTTAGACAAAATCCACATCATAATTCTTCTTAGAGGTGGTTTTCTTTCCTTTTTCAGGCACCCAGTTTTCTGTTTCTTGTCTGCGGGATGCTTCTAATATTGACATTTGCAATGCAGAGGTAGCTGGCATATCCTAAAGATGTTAACTAAGTAAACTAGTTCCTGTTTCCAGGAGCATGTGCTGCCTTTGACAGTGAATTATTATCTAGTACAATGCTTGGCACATAGTAGGTGCCCTACATGTTGAACCAAAACTTAATTAAAAAGTTAGCATGAATTCTGGATTCGAAAGGAACTGAGCTTTAATCCTGGTTCTGCCACTCACTAGCGAGGCACATTTTAATCTAACTCTGAGCTCATCTTACCTGTCAAATGAGGATAGTAATACTGTATCTGTGTCAGGGTTTTAAGAATTATATGAGACAGTACATTGAAAAGGCTTAGCCTAGGCCCTAGAACACAGCAAATGTAGAGTAAAGGTTATTGCTATCAGCATTGTCATAATCATCACTATTGTCATTCAGATAGTCCCAAGGTGGGGGTAAAACTCTCCTCAGGACCTTTTTTGTACAGACTCTGAGACATTAAAATTGCAAAATACAAGGTCCCTCAGAAAACTGATCCATTTATTGTGGACAAGAGTTTGAAATGGTGAGAAGGCAACGGCAGATCTGGAATAAAGCGATGAGAAAGGTTAATGTAAAGTAATCCATTATCATTGGTTAGACAGCCTATTTTATTAGGAAAGAACTTTTGCAAATATTGGAGTTTTAGTTTCGAGAAATAGTTTCAAGCTTCAGGATTATTGGATTATAATAAATAATTTAGTGTATTATAAAAATAGGTTCTAATTAGGTCATGGGTATTGGACAAGGTGAAAAGCAATCTTCAATAAAGAGAAAGGCTACTTGTAAAAAGAAAAATTAGAATAATATCTGTAAAACAAAACAAATACTTGTTTTTCATGATTTCTATTGAAGATAGGAACACCACTGCTCATGACATGCTCATTGGGGAGACTGATTTCACCTTGTCTCTTGGAGCAGCGATTTTCAACCGTTTCCATCTCATGGCGCACATAAACTAATTACTAAAATTCTGTTGCACACCAAAAAATATATTATATTTTTAGCTGATCTGACAAAAAAA